GGCAACAGGCAGGGCTTAATTCTAACTGGCTCCTTCCAGGTTATCAACCCGGAATAATAATAATTCTGAACCCAGCACACCACGTCCAGTATACATCTCGCTATGCGTCTGGCTCCTAGTCACGTGCCACCTACTCCCAGTCTACCACCGCCAATGGGAAATTAGTGATCAACTGAAACTCTGGTCGCAGTTATGAGCATAACTAACATCCAACTGTAAATACATGACTCCACATCTATTCGTGGGTTTATGGAGAGAGAAATTGCACAGTGGTAGGCACACTGTGCGACGAACCTGCTGGCCTGCGTTCGATTCCAGGCAAAGGCTAACCATCAGCTATGTGGTCAGTGATGCCCGAACCGATGCTGCACGATCCACACTCACCAACAACCATTTACCACATTGGTGAAGTACTCTTGACATTTTTGAAAGACCTTTGAAATAAAAAAAACATTTGTGTTCTACATGAGCGGTAGTTGCGTTCCCGGAGAACACCGCGTTGTGGAAGAATCAAGTTATAATCAATAATACATAACGTAGGGTAAAGCACAGTCCACGAGAACACGTCAGACGTGGTATAAGCTTATCGATTCATCCAGCAGCATCCCGCCTTGTGTGACGCTATGCCGAGGCAGCCGTACAACCGCTTATTTCTTTTCGCGCTACGTAGTTCTGATCTCTATTCGATCGTGTTATATACGAAAAAAATGAGTTCCCTAATACATTCATTGCGTTATATCTCATTCGCGTTCTGAAAACAACACGCGTTATAGGAGAACAAATTGTACTATATCCCTATGCTCTTAGTGGCGTCTCTATAAATGTATCACTCTGGTATAAGCAAAGTTCAATGATTGAAAGGCAGACGTAGTCCATCTCCTAGCGGGGAAATGGGTGAACGTGGTAAACACATTTTCTCTGTTTACATTCGCTTGATGGAACCTCTGGCTGGAATGTGCTTGGAGGCTGCTGTTTAACAGAAGTTGTGTATACAAAGCAAAATATGCCCCGTATAGTCTTCTACCAGACTGTTGGGGCAAGTGCTGTTAGCTAGCACCTACATATCAAATACCACCACGGCGCACTTGGGGGTCGTGTTGCCAGCATCACCTTTGCCTCACCAGTGCTGATGTTTATACACCGTACCAGGTAATCATTTAAGGCTGAGTCGACATAGGGGATACCCAGGTACAGATCAGATATTCATCACTGAGGTTCATAATAACCGTTTTTGGGTTAGATCGCGTTATTTATAAATGTGTCGTAACCCTCCACCACCCGACACGGCCAAACAGTAAAAAATGTGTCACGCTGACAAAGGACAAATATTTTACTACTTTAGCCCACCGGTGTGTTGAAGAGTAAATCCACAACATTTTTTGAGTACGATGTTTCGCTGGTAAGTACATCCAGCATCATCGGGCAATTTGCCAGAATGATAATAACTAGAAACGACGATGACCCAGGGTTAAGACTAATAACAAAGTGGCAGCAAGGCACGGGAGGACATTTTCCAAGGAAATGGAACGATGCAATCGGCTTGGTGGATTGTGGGATGTTATATCACAGGTCCTTGAGAGATTCAGTTTAAGTTTTCAGTTGCATTTATTAGGTATAGCCCTGTGAGCCATTCGGCTCTTGAATCGAGTGCAACCGCAACAAACAAAAAACAAAAACATGAACAAGAAAACATCTTAAAGTGACTATGCGCAAACAGAAAATCCAGGAAAAACACTGCAAAGTCTTCCAGAAAAAAAGCACCGTACACCAATGCTGTGCAAAAATCCCAGTGGGATGCAAGTCAAACAACAACAAAAACCACAAGACAACTTAGATTAAAGCCATTAGTCTAACTCCATACTACAACAAACAATCATGGCCAAACCAAAAAACTTTTCGATGGAGTCATCCTGGGGAGTTCTCCATCCAGCAGGTGGATACTGGTAGTCTGGCGCCCCTACCTGTTTAGATTCCTCGACCCCAAGGCCCCTAAACACCTTCAGTGGTGAGGGAAGGGGGCACAGCATGGGCAGGCAACAGGAAAGGACGAGGAGAAAAGGAAATGCCATCTTGTCAGAGCGCTAAGTGGACATCCTGAAAGGGGTTGAGGTCGCGAACCGTTTGGGAGTTCGCTACCTGTGTAGCCCTCCTCGAAGAAGTTCAACATGCATACATACAATGAACTAATTTCTTTCGAACTGCTCGTTGTGTTAGATTGCTGTCCTTCCCTCGCAGCTCCGATTAGCGCGGTTCGATACGTACGGTGCGAAAGAAATTCAACAGACAATTGAGTATGGGTCTCTGTGAGTTTCTTTGGGTCTCTATGGTTCTACTCCTTCAGATCTTAGGAAACCACTGAAGCCATTTAGGATTAAATAATCACGATTTAAAACTCATTTCTTTCCAACTGCTCTTTGTGTTTAGTGTGTTGTCCTTAGCCCTGCACCTCTGATTAGCACCGTCGGCCACCTACGGTGCGACAGAAGTTCAACACACACACGGCCTGTGTCTGTGGCCCCCACCTGGGCCTGCATCGGGAATGCTGAAAGAGGTTGGTTCGCGAACCGTTTGGGAGGTCGCAAACCTGTGCAGCCTTTTGGCGTCATCTGGTCCAACACCAATGGAGACTAGGCTCTAAGAAAAGCTGTCTCGGGTGTGGACCAATCAACTTCAAGGAGAGTGCATATCATTATCAGAGTGTTTCTTTTTGTTTGCATTTTGACTGCTTGTGTTGTGGTTATTGCAAACATGATGCCTTGTATAAAGGTGTCAGTTTTTGTACCAGTTGAAACGGGTAAAAACCTATTATTATACTGTGCAGCCCTGTTTGAGTTGTGTGCGGCCCTCGCTTGGGCCTGTGTCTGATACCCGTCAGATTGGGCTCACACCTCTGAACTAAAACTAAACAATAAAATGTTTTATTTTACCAGGTAAGCCTCACTGAGCTCTGTAGCTCTATTCAGAAGCAACCTGGCCACACTTGATAGCGCAACGAAGTTGGCTTATACTCGCGTGGAAATGTATAGCAGCTAAACACTCTAAACGCATGATGTTGATTCAAACTGTGGAGGGAAAACCAGAAGAACCGGAGAAATTCCACGCGACCACGGGGCAGACCAGAGAACACACACTTCGAATATACAGCAGCAGGCGTCAGTCAGGGTTGGGGATCGAACATACGACCTCCTGCATAGTAGGACAAGCTGTGGCTGTTCGCATAGGTGTCTCTTGGGATTGAATGCGATTGTGGAATCTCAAGAAGTGACGTTTTTAGTTTGGGTCTTTGGGTTTTGGAGTATCTCCAATTTAGTTTTTTTTGGAGGCAAGTAGCCCAAACGGCTTGTCACACGTGTGTGGCGTATGTGGGCACGATGTAATAATTCTAGATTTGAAGCTTTCGTGACTGCAAGGATTCATATTCTTAGGTTTTTTTCGGTAAAGTCACGTAGATAAAAAATTAAAATTAATAAAAGTAAAATAAAAAATTAAATAAAAATCACGACGTTTTCTTGGAATTTCTCTCACTTGATACAGCTATCGTGCTGTGACGGTTCCACCTGAAGACGGATGCTTGTGTTGCCTCCGAAACGTCGTGATTTTAATTTTATTTTAATTTTATTTTTATTAATTTTAATTTTTTATCTACGTGACTTTACCGAAAAAAACCTAAGAATACGATGCAATAAGTAGAGGCAGAGTGAAGGTGCAGTTGAAACGCATGTCAAAATGTGTGGTACACAATCTCATTAAAATACCAAGCACGACCACAAGTCATAAACATACATTTTATTTGATATACGTTATATAAAACATTTATTAGCAAGGCAAATATTATTTTTGACTTAAAACTTTCGTGACTGCAGGAATTCATATTCTTGGTTCTTTCGGTAAAGTCACGTAAATAAAAAATATAAATAATAAAATCTAATAAAAATAAGAAAAAACTTAAAATAATACATTGAAAATAATAAAAGCTATTCATTCTTTATTTTTATTTTATTCTTTTTTTCTATCTACGTGACTTTACCGAAATAACCAAGAATAGACAAATATTATTACTACTGTGCTGTAATATTTCAGCCAGTACTTTGAAAAAACACACAAAAGCTTTACTGCCTACTTATAACAACAATTTAATTCAACGATTATTTCCTCTAAGGGTTGCTAGGTCGATGCCGTTTTAAAAAAAAGCCTGTTTTAATATCAGTGTCTAAAAATGCAATTAGTAACGGATTAAAAAACGATATCTATATTTGTTTTAAATGACCTTAATTAATTGCCCATGTGTATAGCGGCTTCCAGTGGCTGTGAAGGTCACGTGACCCCTTCACGAGCGATGTTTTTCAATACGCGAATCGAATAACATAGATTCGTGGTACAACGCGATTCCACGCAGGTTATTTACTGTGGGACTGCGGTGGGCTTAAGAATCGATATGCATCGATGGATCGATGCATCCTTGTGTTAACCCAACCCTCGAAGCCCCGAACCACGTGTAGTGGTCCAACAATGTGCAAGTCACAGTAGGGGGACCACAAGGGTATTTCTCTTCGATCTGCAGTCTATCAATACAAACGATCAAGCAACCAAATCGTCTTCCGATTACCAGAATGTGGTTAACCGTACTATCAAAAAATTTACGCGCATAATTCTATGAAATGAATGTTAATTAACGTATATATATTTTAATTAAATTATGACTGACAACACATTTTTAACAAACCCTCGATTGTTCTGTCGCTTTCGGCACGTCGCGAGCACCCCTTTGATGGGACCCCGTCCAGGAAGCCGGGGCCCGGCGTTCGCGAAGGCACGCCGCATCGAGGCGTAACTTTACGTAATAACAAACGCCTTGGAGGCAGATCTCTGCGCGTTCCCTCCGCTCACATCGCATCGCGCGTGTGCCCTCAGGGCGAATTTTATATTGAAAACAATCCGTGGGGGGCGGGGTATAAAGTAAATAAATTATTAATGTGGGTCGTGGGGGGGTTGGTGGGACGACGACGACTTCCGCTGTCAGTGTTGAAGGCAAACGCGAGGCCGCCTTTGTCAAGACATGCGCGTTAGAGGCTTTAATCGAAGCGTTACAACAACCACCACCGTTCCGTGTTGATTACTACTACTGCTACTACCCATATAAGATAGTCAATCGTGTTAAGTGTAAGTCGCTGCCCACCAACAACCCACGTTGTACCGAGGCGTTCGCGGCTGATCGGCGTGGCCGAGTGGGGTCGAGCCCGTGGATTGATCCAGAAGTTTTGGGAAGGCACCCACGGTCCCAACTCGCCTTCTTTGTATCTCCCCACCCTCCCCATCATCATCCTCCTATCATTCATCTCGCCCGCGTGTCTCTTGTTAATGAATCGGATATCGCCGTATACACTCCACGTTTACAACACGGGAGCCGTGCTCGTAACGAAAGACCGGCCCTAATACGCCCGAACAAAGAAGCAATAATACGTGTAACTGTTACGGGAACAAGCCATTTGGTGGTCGTGGTAAGAAGCCGGTGGGGGGGGGAACGGGAGAAGCAGCAGGAGGATTAAACAGCAGACTCGGCACTGGTGGTGGTGACAGAAACGAGCAGCTTGAAGGGCATCTTCACAACACGTCTCGACCGAAGCATCAAGAAACCGGCGGCATCATCGGCAAGAGAGAGAGGGGGGGGGGAATCAGGAAGGCCATATAAAGTCACGGCAACTGCATGAGCAAAAGGCGGAGGCAGAGGCCGGCTGTATAAGAAGAAGCAGCAGCAGCAGGAGGAGGAACAAACAACCGACGACCAAGCAAGCCCTACTACTATCAAGAGCTGTAGTTAACAGAGCAAGGAGCGAGAAGGCCATTAAGTGCCAATAGCAGTTGTGGGTCTTCATCGTCAAGAAGAACCACCACTAACAACAACACCATCAGCACCACCAACAACAACGCCACCAACAACGCCACCAACACCTCCACCAACAACACCACAAACACCACCAACAACAACACCACCACCAACAACACCACCACCAACAACAACACCACCAACAACACCACCAACAACAACACCACCAACAACACCACCACCAACACCACCACTAAGAACAACAACACCACCAACAACACCACCACCAACAACAACACCACCAACAACACCACCAACAACAACACCACCAACAACACCACCACCAACACCACCACTAAGAACAACAACACCACCAACAACACCACCACCAACAACACCACCACCATGTACCCGCTGAAGAAGTACTTCACAGAGGGCCTCATCCAGCTCACCATCATGCTCAGCTTGTTACGCATGGACCCGGACACCTACCTGATGGGTGGCCCTGGCCAACAACAACACCACCACCATCAGCACCACAACCACCTTCACGACCTGCTGCTTGTGCAGGACCCAGCTCACACCCGACCCGGCTGGGACACGACACCCGGCGGCTTCCAGGGCCCTGGCCTGGGTCTGGGTGGTCCTGCTCCGGCCTTGCTCCTCCACCCCAAGAATCCAGACGCCGCCTTCCTCGACGGCTTCTGGGACATGCGACGTCTCCTCGATGAGGTTCGATCCCTCGATCGGATTCGTGCCGGCACCACGGACATCGCCGCGTGGCTCGTGCACAGCCACGGCGGCGGCGGAGCCTCGGCCTCCTCTTCCTCCTCCTCTTCGGCGTCTGCGGCGGGCGGTGAGACGGAAGACGGTGGTGGTGGTGGTGATGTAGAGGTGGTGGGACAGGGCCAGCCTGGTGGAGGTGGTGGTGGTGGAGGTGGTGTGGTGGTGGTGGTGGAGACACGGACTGCTGCTGGGCAGGAGGAGGCTCGTGCGTTGGAGGAGAGGCCCTTGGCTGCTGGTGCCGAGGCTATGACGGTGGGAGGCAGCGAACTGACTAAAGAGGTATTCACACACAGACACACACAGACACACACACAGACACACACACACAAAGATCCCCCGTGTAGCCTTTACAGACTGTAGGGGCAAGTGCTGTTAGCGAGCACCTATGAAGGCCGGAACGGCACACGAGGGGGTGGGTGGCCAGCACCACGCCCGACCGCCTTTGTCTCCCTAGTGGCGATGTTTACACACCGCACCAGGTACTCATTTGAGGCTGAGTCGACCTAGGGGAGGCCCAGGACCGTTTCAGATAATCGTCACTGGTGTTAGCCGTGAGCGGGAATCGAACCCGGGTCGCCAGGTTCATAGCGCAGCGCGCTAACCGCTACACTACCGCTCCCCGCACATACACACACGCACGCACATGCACACACACGCACATGCACACACACGCACATACACACACACGCACGCACATGCACACACACGCACGCACATACACACGTACGCACATGCACACACACACACCAGAACATCGTGTAGAGGTTTTCAATCATCGGTTCATTCATTCGATTGCTTTGCGTTCATTTTGCCGGCGTTTGCTGTCGAGCCGGAATCTCGCGGACACGTGGATTTTGATTTGTTTCGAAGCTGAACGCGATCCGGGCCTTGTGTGTCGGTGTTTGAATGGGGCGGCCACCCACCCCCGATGCATGTCAGGGTGTCATAGGCGTCTCTTGGTGTACAGCATTGAGCAGCCCCCCAGGGCCGTGTGTGTCCAAATCTATTGTACCCTCCGAGCGATGATGCTCCATGCACAATAACGATGGTAAGTCGTCGTCCAATCAACACAAACGTCTGCACGGTGCACTCTCTTTCAGTATTCGTCCCGCAGAATCGCAATCGATTATCACGATTCTCTTAACCCTTACCAAACTAACCCAAAGCAGCAAGGATCAACAACAGCACGCACAGAAACATGAACCACGCGCCGTCTTGTGATACTTTTTTTAAAATCCGCCCTACTCGTTTTGAACATTGGTTACGAAACGGCCTTTGTGTGCTTGTTTTGATGCTTGGCTTTAAACAACGATGGGCCGATGTTGTAATGGGTTAAGTGTTGCGGTGATTTATCACACTCCTTAAAACACACCATAGTCCCAATAATCCCAACGTGAATGGAACGATGACAGATTAAAGTGTACAGTAAGCAAGGGCGCTGCTGGATAACACTTTATTGTTGATGATGGTATTTTCGATATTGATGTCACAAGTCCCATCAAAATGGCTCCCTTGCTCTCTGAATGAGTCAATGGGGCAGCACTCCCCCATCTCTCTCTCTGTTGGTGACACTTGAGAAGATGGTGGTGACCATTCCACATTCCTCTGGCAGGAGTCAGCTTGAGGCAATCGGCTGAGCCTCTGTTAGCACCGTTTTTTACTGTATGACAGAACCCCGTTCACTCTTGACAGGTCTGAACATCGGCGCCTTCGTGTCGGGTATTGGACCTGTGCATCCCTTTGCTGGTCCACTGCTGGATGAGGGCCTCCCTACAGAGTTGCGGGTCGTGGGGAGTTCTTTGCCAATACTTCGCCATTGCTGGCCATAGAATTTCAGTGCAATTTAATTTTTCTGCACGTGGCGTCTGCTGCCTGATCAGTAGCAGCAAGCGGCCACCTCGACCTATAACAACAGCCTGGTTTGTGGTGGTCACCCATCCGAACACCACCCAGGCTCAAAGACCTGCTGAGCTTTCGAGATTTTGAAGGAAGCGTTGTAGGTGAATTGGTCGTGAGCTTGTGTAGATACATTATCATTACAAGAGACGTTTTTTCACATTCTCTCGGGGTATTGTATTACAGAACTTGTCCATCTGCTCCTGTAGATAACAGAGCCGTTGATTCATTTCTCTTACAGAGATCACAGAACGATTAATCTCGCAATCTTCCAGGTGGTGGGTGTGTACGAATCCTAATACGCTCCCCTTGTGTACATGCCCTCTGCTCTCCCTTGCTCAAGAGGTATTTTATCAAAAGACCTGCCCGCACCCGGTTAAATACAGGACACCGGCCTGAACAAACATGTCCAAGAATGGATGATGTTTAATTGTTATTTATGTAACGTCGAGAAGAGGAAATTGCAAGGGAAACAGTCTCCACTTCAACCACATCATGTAGGCTGGGGCAGAAAAGTGGTAATTTATGCACTACTTACTGTCCCAGGCTCCTAAAAACCATAAACCCTCACTCACAATCCTAAACCACGTGACCCTCAACCCCAAACCCTAAACCTTATACCCGGAATGCTAACCATAACCCTAAACCATAACTCCGAATCCAAACCTTAGCACCTATCCCCTAATCCATAACCACAAAACCATAGACCTAAACCCTATCCCATAACCCCTAACTCATAATAATCCACAAACTCAAACACTGGGTCATATCTCCCCTGGGCTGTGCACCTAACCCTTAAGCCATAACAACCCCCCCTGCCCCCCTCTTAATCTTAACAATAAACCTTTCTTGGAAATTAGAGACGAGGCGTTGCTTAATATTTCATCAACTGAAAACCAATAAGGAAAGAAGGACTGTGGTTGGATAAAACTCTGGTAGATCTTTGCTTGAAACCTATCTCAGCCCAGTGGTTCTTGCAGGGGTTCTGTGGTGGTACGTGAGAAATTTGGCACGAGCGCATGCTTGAGGTGCTGTCACATTTCATCTTTGAGAAGTGGTTTGGCAGGCAACATTATGACCACAGGTTATGGCCAATTAACAATGGCCTCCACTTTAATCACGTGGGCCCTTTGGTTCTTTTATAATCGGCTTGAATAATGCTTCAAGACTTCTGCAAATTATCACGAAACGTCGTGATTTTTTTTTCCACCTACGTGACTTTTCCGAAAGAACCAAAGAGTATGGATCCTTGCAGTCACGAAAACTTCAAATCTAGAATGAAATGATCACTAAGCCATGAGAAACGCTAGTAGTTAAACGGCGCATATACCAGGTTATTAACATGGACATCTCTTATTGGGCGGGAGGGGGGAGGAAATTAAATTGAAGGCTGCAAAGTCTGAAACAGATGTGAATAGAGTTGGCTTGCACCACATTGCATAAGTCGCGCGCCCTCCCTCCCGCCCACCCTAAGATGTACGTGTCGCTTTAGTGGTGGTGGTGTTACCTGCCTCTTGCAAAACATTGTGGTGTGAATAGTTTACACGCAACACACACAACACTCCACGCATCACTGGCCGTCCGTCACCCACCGCTATACCGGCCAATCACAGGCTTCTGCAACTGAAGCGCCGGTGCATTTGTTTAATCAAGCGGGGGGGGGGGGGTGATTTTGTAGTTTCCTGGTTCACAATTCGCGGGGATCATTTGAGTACAAGGGATATTTTTTTTTACAGCGGGGGTGGCAAAAAACAAACGACCGCCTGATTGTGTGCGGTGAGTTTCATGGCCGTCCTCCAGCTTTAGTTGGTGGAGAAGAAATAGGGCCCCTCCCATTCAAGAAAGTGAGAGTTTCATTCCTGGCCAGGGTCAACTTTGGGCCCCTTTTGTCTTCTCCACGGTTGTGAAAGTGAGCACCACCTGGCCACACACTTAACTTGTGGCCTTACTGAGACTCGGTGGCTTTTGGTTTGTCGTAAATGCACTACACTACGAACCCAGCGACCTGAGTTTTATTCCTGGCCAAGGCCTGCATCAGTGGTTGCGTGATATCTTAACTGGTCCTGTGAGTGATATCTTAACCCCCACGACTTATACGGCATGAGAGGTGGTGGGGGGAGGGGGTGGCCTTCATCCAACAGGGCTGTCGTTTTAAAAGAATATCAGACACCAGCATGGTACTGAAATTAATTAGTATGTTTAATAACCAGGCACGTAAATAGGCGTTGGCTTTAGGTCAATTAGTGGTGCGTCAAAAAAAGAACATTCAGCTCTTAATACATCATCACAAACATGCAGCAGTGTATAGACGGAGAGCTATACGTCAGATCTTGTAATGGGAAAATCGGCGATTTGAAAAACAGGATCTTAGCCACGCTGGGTGAGCGCCATGACCTCCTTCACACAGACCCAGCACTAACCTCCCCAGGCCACCCTGTTCACTTTTGGCTAGCCGGAGAGGATTACAATAAATGGTTGGGGTGCATGGTAAACACGCACCGTGTCCCTGCCACCACCATTTGTGTGCGTGTGTTTACGAGTCCAAAAGTAGCGCACTTGACTCGCTGCTGCCCTCATGCAATCCGCCCCCCCCCAACCAGATTCTATTGGTGGGTGCCCGGACGTAACTCATCCAAGTAGAAGTCGATCCCGAGTTACTCCACCCTGGCTATGCGTAGATGTCACTGCCGCAGTCGTGGGCGCAGCAGTGCGTGCGAGTGTGGGCGCATATCTGGGGTAGTGGAGAGTTTGATTCCCGCTCACAGTCGACACCAGTGACGATTATGTGAACGGATCGTGGACCTTTCCTAGGTCGACTCGACCTCAAATGATTAGCTGGTGTGGCGTGTCAACATCGCCACTGGGGAGGCAAAGGTTTCCGGGCGTGGTGCTGGCCTCCCACCCCTTCGTGTGCCGTGTTGGCCTTCATAGGTGCTCGCTAACAGCACTTTCACCCAACAGTATGTTAAGGCTATAATGGGGGAGTTTTGTCTTTGTGCGCATATCTCCTATACCCTGTGAGGCACCATGGCAATGTTATGGCATTTGTCACCGGCAGTCATCGCTGGCAACAACTCTTACTTGCGACTGGATTGGAACTGGCATCAAGTCGATGAGTCCTGAGGGTAGAGCGGTCGTGCAATGGTTGGCGGATCAGTTCTTAGGACGATGTCGAATGGCAGTTTTGTTGTACTGAGGGCCGCAGAACTCGATAATTCAACGACGTCTGTTGGGAAGACTTTCCTAACAAAGCTTTATGATATATTGATATGGGATTACTTTATTGGTCAAGAACGTCGCAGGCTTTATTCGAACCTGCGCTTGGCGGAAGATGATACGCTTTGGTGGTTCTCGCCGACGGGAACACGTGGAGTGGGATTGGC